GAGGAGGGAGGAGGGAGGAGGGAGGAGAGAAAGGAAAGATGGAAGAAGGTGGAAGAAAGAGAAGTGTAGGCCGGAGAACAAGGTAGAGCTTGAGTTCTAGATTCGATCAAAGAGGAAGAGGGCGTGCTTTCTCAACAATCTGCTGTCCTGCCGCATAGAGGGAAACTGCAGTAAGACCGCCTTGCATCGGGCTACTCATCTGTGACTGATTTTTATCCTCGTACTGATTTTTAACTTAACTTTGAGTAAAAAGATTTTTAACTAAACTTTGAGTGCTGAAAGAGACGGGCCGCCGAGCCGTGACCAATGAGGCCCGGGAGCGGCCGGGGCCTGTCAGGGCCCTGAGCCGCCCGGCCCGGACTCCTCCTGAGTGACCCCGGCGGCGGCGGCCCCCGGTGCCAGCAGCAGTGTACGGTCTCGGACCGTACCCTGGCCCGGTCCGTCAGTCTCGGGCCCCGGGCCGCGAGTCACGCGCCGGGCCTGGCAGTGGCTCAGTGGACAATGGACCCCGGGCCGCCAGCGGACTCCGGACCATTTGAAACGGGCAGGACCCGGCCGGCCGGGCCCGGGCTTGAATCCGCCGTGATGCCATCGTTTGACTCGGAATTTGCCCGGCCAGCAGGAAACAAACAGATCGTTTACCCCTCCTCTCCCATTCTATTCTGAGGGTGGGGGTAGTTTGCGGATCGAGGGGCGCAAAGTAGGGTGGCCAGGGATCAGTCGCACGCATGTTCGATAAGGGGGAGGAGGGAGGAGGATGGGAGGAGCAGGAGGTTGAAGGAAGAGATGAGAGAAAGGATCATGGAGGCTGAAAGGGATAGATGCGATACGAGGATGATGAATGGTAACATAGAAGGACAGACACGAGATACACGCCCACGAAAGGTGTTACGAGAAGGGGAAGGGAACAGACAGGCAGGTGGGCAAGACAGAGACGGAGACGGAGACGGAGACGGAGACGGAGACGGAGACAGAGACAGAGACTGGGATGTCCATAGCAAGAAATTCAGATAGAGCTAAAGAAGGACTGAGGGTGCTGGTTCGAAGGACTTTGAGCAGACGACTTTGAAACCAAAGGAAACAGCACTATGTTGCAGGCTAGCGAACGGAACAGCAAGCAAAAATGCATCGAAATAATTTTTCATCACAGGATGAATCATCAAGCATTCTTCGGCCTGTTTATTGTTACTGCAATTCTTCTGCCACAAGCCTCCGGTATCTCGGGTGCCTTCACTTCCGAGATCACTGATCAAGTATGAAGCATGCTGATTCAGATAAAGATTCTGACTTTCCTTGTCGGTGATACAGCAATGTCAAGAAGGTTTCACCAAATATGCCATGGAGAGAATCTCTTCTATCCGAAACTCAATCATTCAGATGTCATTTATTCGAGAATTGATCGATGGAAGCCTCTCAAAAGAACGATTTCGTTTCTACATCATCCAGGATTCGCTGTACCTGAAGGAATACTCAAAGGTTGATGAGAAATATGTTGCACTGCTGTGAAAACATCAACATGTCCATGAACAGGTTTTGGCCATGCTCGCAGCCAAAGCGCCAAACCCTTCCATCACGCAAACTATGGCTCTTGCATCGAATTCTGCCGTGGTAAAAGCTCTGCCAGGATTCCATTTTTTTCTAGTTATCCTAACATTTACTGGTAGTCTGTTGAAGGTTCGTTGCATGATTCTTTCCTGAAACAGTTGAATGTGTAAGTTGCTCGCTTTCGATGCCTCGTTCGATGCTCAGGGGCAGCTTTTCTTCCTTTTAACTGATAATGCAGTACCGATGAAATTTTTAAATCGACTGAGCAGTCACGAACCTCATCCGGTTACACGGATTTCTTGATGGCTACTGTGGCCTCTAGACCTTATGAAGTCGCTTTTGCTGCAGTCATTCCGTAAGACTTTCTCTTGATTTTCTTTGGATTGGATGATTCTGACAGACCTTTACCTCAGTTGCTACACTATTTATCATGAGGCAAAAGTGACGTGTACGCTGTGATTTGTTTGCTGACCAAGATAGCTCAGGTTGGCAACTACATCCAAGACCTCAGTCACAAGAACTCGGCCGATATTGACAAGAACCCATTCAAGGACTGGATCAGAACATATGTAATCTTGGATTGTCACGCTTTTTTTTTACCCTTCACATTTTGGGTATCCAGGGTGGAGAGGAATTCGACATTGCGACCAAAAAAGCAGTTTCCATCGTAGATGATCTCGCAAGGAAAGCTTCTAGTGAGGTGCAGACTGCGTTATGACTGAAACTGATCGTAGTGTCTGATGTTTTGTCAGGTTCGGAAAGAGATGCTAGAGGCGTTCATGACGGCTGCAAGATTCGAATGGATGTAATCGCTCATCATCCTATTTTCATAGCGCTCTAGAGTCAAAATCTTGATTTTGCGACAGGTTTTGGGACAGTGCTTATCAACTCGAGCAATGGCCTATCGACATTCGTAATCTTTGAAGGTGTGAGGAAAAGAATATTTTCATTGTAAGAGTTTCTCAAGCTCTCCACTAGGAGAGACCATAACGTAGGTGACATCGCCGGTTTCAAAAGCCTCCTGCGCAAGCTTCTGTCAAATGTCTAGACATCTTGTTTCGCTGATTACTGTGATTTGCAATAAAAGTTCTTTGTCCTTGACCGAAATCCCTTCTCTTGTGTCTCCGGTATCCTCGTCCATGATGGTGACTGTCACCAAGGGAACTCATCAACCATTGAAGACTGCAATCTTCTTCACCTTTGTCATCTTGGACTTCGATGACCTGCCACTTGCTTGAGCGTGACGTTTCCACTGCCTTCGATTCCTTTTCAAAGCACCTCCATTCACATTATCGATCATGGCAAGCTCATGAGCACCGATCCGCCGCCCTCTGTCAACGTCTCGAGCCACTTGAGGCAAGATTTCTTGGCTTTGCCCGTAACCTGCTCGGCCCGGTCTCAAAGTCCGTAAGTCGTTCAGGTCAGGCTCACAAGTTTGCCCTCCGGTAGCTTCAACAAGTCATCAACCTGAGCCACCACAAGGCCTCGGGCGTCAGTTGAGCCCACCAGAACTGGCAGGCGCCTTCCCCCATACCAGGGCAAAGGCAGCATCCCGAAGCTGCTCAGGTTCTGAGACCGCCGCCTTGTAATATGACTGAATGGTTGAAAGCAGCTCTTGCTTGCTGGGAATGAGCATGAAGAGAGGAAGACAGCATATCATCGTATCAGCAAGCAATCATGGAGGGTTGGTCAATGTCAGTGAATCTTCAGTCACAGCTACAGTGAGTGTTCAGTCATACCTGCCATCTGCGACGGATTCGTCTTGATGTTTCCTCAGCCATGTCTGCAGCCTTGACATCTCGCTTTTTACTTTCTCGTACTTCATCGGCTTTGCTAGAGCAGGAGCAATCTCAGCACATACCATGATTCCTGCCCTCTTTCATTTCCTCTCTAATGTAAGACTCGATGTTGGCTGCCTGCACGTTCATCGTATCCTCTTGACTCCAACATGAAAGGGCTAGATTGCAACCTAATAACGGTCTAGGGCGCGTCTGACATTCTTTCCTCGTTCATGTACTTGTTGTCTCTCCTCCTCTCGTCTCTCTCCACCTCACCTGCCAGCAGCTCCTGCGCGTCTTCACGGTACTTGCTAATCCTTTCGGCCGCCATAGCTTGCTTGCTAGTCCTTCGGAACCGCAGTACGGTCCGGGACCGGGCCCGGCCCGCCGACAGTGAATTCTGAGTTAAACTTGAACTTCCAGTCCTTTTTACTCAAAGTTAAGTTAAACCAGTCAGTACCGTACTTGTGACGGACTCAGTGATCCGAGGCCGTCGTGCCGCCCGGGTGCTGGCACCGATACCGTACTCTGGACTCCGGGAAAACAAGCCCTCCTAACGGCCTCAATGCCTGTTCCAAGCTAAGTTACACCGTACTCACGGTGCAGTGGGCGGCCGCGCCGCGGCACGAGCTGAGGAGTCCGGGCGGCGGCGGGCCGCGCAGGAGCACAGTCCGACCCGACACCGGCGTGTGAGACTCTGAGGCACTCAGTGATTTTTTAACTTAACTTTGAGTAAAAGCCGGGGCTTTTCTCCCGGGAGAATGGGGTGGAAGAGCGATGAGTAGTAGTAGGAGCAGGAACAGGAGGAGAGGACACGAGTAGGAGTAGTAGTAGGAGGAGGAGTGGGAGGAGTAGTAGGAGTAGGAGTAGGAGTAGGATTAGGAGTAGGAGGAGGAGGATGATGAGTAGGAGTAGGAGCAGGAGCAGGAGGAGTAGGAATAGGAGTTAGCAGCAGCAGGAGGAGCAGGAGGAGCAGGAGCAGGAGCAGGTAGATTAGGAGCAGGAGCAGGAGGAGCAGGAGCAGGAGGAGCAGGAGGAAAAGGAGGAGGAGGAGGAGGTGGTGGTGGTGGAGAAAGAGAGGAGAAACCCTCAACCTATCACTAGGGAATTACACGAGATGATAGAATGGAGCTAAAGCATGTGGAAAAAACGACCAATTCCCATATTCCCAGCATCCATCTCCCCCCCCCTCCCCCCCCCCCCTCTTTCCCCCTTCCCCCCTCCTATCATATCTCCCATGTCCTCTCTCGCAATGTTCCTTACGTGCATAGCATCGTATTTCTAGATCGAGCACTGAAGCCATCTCTGACTTGACCATTTGAGCAGGGGCGTTTGATTTGCCTGTAGAACCCGTACTCTACAGGCAAAGGATGAACAGACTCTCTTCAAACACACTCAAGTTCTTCGTATGTTTCAGCAGACATGATCGCCCGGCTCGAGCGTTGCACTGGAATACCAGCATCACCGAAGTCTCACGCATCCCTCCCAGGAACTACAGCGCAACAGTGGGCAAGGAACCAAACATCCAACAGGGTTTCCGTTCCTTCTCCAGAGTGAAGGAATTGTTGGGGTTCCAGCTCAGGACTGTGACACGTTCAACAGCGTCGCAAGTGCATGCCGGCAAAGACAACGCGGTCTTTCTGTTCAAGGGCTCCGATGAAGTTTGTTGACATCTGTATGATGTAGGAGGAAGATGCAAAGATGCGCACGTCATCATCTCCTTGCTCTTCATTCTTGTCGAGCCGAGTGAGTCAGGAGAATGTTAGTTTCACGCTTGATGCCTGCATGCAGATGTCCATGTTGGGGTTGCCGCTGTTTGCGACTTCATCCCAGGGAGCTCCCGACATGTCACTGAGTGCAGCGGGGATGGAGATACAGAATGTGTTGATCGCTTCCACAGCAGAGGTGTTGTGGAGCGAGGTTTTATGGTGAGATGATGAGACAGTGCAGGACAACTGGTGGAAAATGATAGAAGAGTTTGTAAGTCTGCTCCTGCCCCTTGCCTTCTTCTCCCTCCTCTCTCCCCCTCCTCCCTCCTCCCTCCTCCCTCTCCTTCCCTCCTCCCCCTCCCTCTCCCGCCCTCCTCCCTCTCCCTCTTCTCTCTCCCGATCTTGGTGACTGAAACGATTCATTGCACACAGGACTTCTTCAAGATCGGCTCTGGTTTCTTCTCCGACGCCTTGATAGCTCTACATGCTAACACGGTCAGAGGGGAAGCAAGTATCCTGCCGACCTTGTCACACGTGGTCTTGCACAGGGTTTGAGCTGGGCGTTTACGATCTGTATTGGTACTCTTATCCTGCGGTGAGGAAGACAAGAACATTTCGCACTTGTGCTTGTTTTCAAACGACACTCCCTGACATCTCGTTCTCACTACACGAGAGTTCTCATCCTCGATCTCACTACACGAGAGTTCTCATCCTCGATCTCACTACACGAGAGTTCTCATCCTCGGACTTTGACACTGGTCAATCAGTTTGTCGTTCATTCCCCTCCAAATCTACTCGGAGAGGAATACACACAAGTTCGTGATGAAAGTCACTCCGCAAGCCCGCAAGGTCCTCCCCTTCCAAACTCCTCCCCCCCTTCCTTCACAGCTCCTTTTTCCCTCTCCCTTGTGCTTGATCGACCTCTCTTCTTTCTTCTTCCCCGCTTCCCCACTCCTCTCTTTTCTTTTCCTCCTTTCTCGATGCCAATAACCTGCCGTTTTTCCCTTCTTTGCTCCTTCCTACCTCTCCTACTCCCTCCCTCTTCTGATTCCTTGACTTTCTCATCATGTTCACAGCTTTATCACCAACTCACACCCAGAACCATCGACGGCAAGGTACATTTCTGTCCTGCTGGTTTCATATTACCGTCTCCTACTCCGCTCTTGTCTCCTCTGCCTTCATTTCCTTTCTCCCCCCCTCTCCTCCTGCTCTCTTCTCCCCTTTCACTTTCCTTCACTTCTCTCCTCCTTCACTTCTCTCCTACTTTTGGCTCTCTTTCCACAACCCTGTCTCCCCTGCTCCCCTCCCCCCTCTCACTTTCCCCTCTAAGTCTTCACTTCCTCATACCTTCTCCCTCCTTGCAGCCAGCTGGCTTTGCCTCGTGGTCCCACCTGCTGTCGACATATTCTACCTTCCTCCAAGGCTCGAGGAAGATCTGGAGAGAGCAGCAGGTGTTGTATGCTCCTCCTTGACGAGGCAGTCCTGGGGCTGCGCAACTGTGCTCTCACAACTTGTGCAGTGCTCTCCGATAAAGTCTTGGATCAGCCCCATGATGCAGCTTCCGGTCTGTGACTAAGGAGGATGCTGTGGTGTGAGGGACGAGGATGCCGATGGCTGAAGATGGTGTTGGTGGAGATTGAGATTGAGAGGATGGAGAAAATGATGATGATGGAGACAATGCAGATGGAGGAAACATGATGATGATGATGATGATCATGATGGAGGAAACATTTTGATGATGGAGATAATGAGGATGATAATGATGATGAGGAAAATTGATGATAATGGAGTTGACAACGATGATCTTGTTATCATGATCATCAACAGCATTTTGATGAACTCTTCACGCTGTCGAAGATCGTGATAACACAATCATTCTTGAGACTTCGATGATGATGTGGTTGGACGATGTGCCATGACCCCCTAGCAGCATGACGACGCTGACGGGATCACTTGATTTCAGATCTTCCTGTGCAACTCCATCGCGATCAGGAAGTTTTGCTTCGGAGACATGGCGGAGGAGTTTGCGCAAGGAGGGTTGTGGTGGTTCAAGGTGAGGCCGTCGAGACTGAGGAGGAGGATTCTTATCCGTTGCTCCCTCCCCTCCAGGACCTCACCGATAGCGCCATGATTGGATTTCTCAAGATCAACTTCGATGCTCCGGAGATGCTGATTCTGCCGTGTTTGAGGTGATGGAACGTGGAGACTGATCTCCCTCCGGGCCCTCCCTTCTGATCCTACCTGCTTCCCGGTCCCTCATCACCTCCTTCCCTTCCTTTGTGTGTCCTTGGAGTTGGTCGCGGTTACTTTGTTGCTGTCCTTCTGTCTGCATTCTCGTTTCATTGCGATGTTCTCAACTTCTTACACTCTCAGCAGCACTGGGTTGATGATGATGAACCTGCACATTGCATTCAAGAACCTTCCGACGTTGAAGATGGTGATCACAACCGCAGCAATGATATCAGATGTCACGATGTGGCACATGCAGCCGTCTTGTTGTCTGTTGTGACACGAGTGTAACATGTCATGTTTTCCTGATTCTTCTCGACGGAACAGGTCGGGCAACTGATGGCTTTCACCATGTTGCCTCTTACTTATCAGCTGCCTCAAGCATGTTTCATGTCAGTTTTGCCGTCATGGTCGTTGATTATGAGAAGTGACTTCTTCACAGTTACTGGTGCGTCTCGTTCTCATTCACCACCGCACATGTAAGTTATGTATGAATGTTAGGATGTTGATGTTGATGTTTTGAATGATGATGATGATGATGATGATGATGATGATGATGATGATGATGATGATGGAGATGATGATGATGATTTGAATGATGAATGATGAATGGTGGTGGTGGTGGTGGTGGAGGAGGAGGAGGAGGAGGAAGAGATAATAGACAGGAGGGAGATGATGGTGATGTCGATAGTGGATATGGAGGAGTAAGAGAATGGGAAAGAAGGAAGACGTGCAAGGATGA